GACTGAACTGAACTGATATTATCAGAAGCGAAATTAAGGATAGATTATCTGATTTTTCCTTAAAGTGATATGTCTATGAATAAAGGGGTAACTTACAAATTTGTGTACTACTCTATTTTGACAATAGCATTCTCCTCTTTTTCAACCACCATTATCACTACCACATTTCTTTTATGGAGGAAGGGAATTTCCCAGGATATCTTTGAAACCCACATTACACACTGGGATATTTGGGGCTCTCTCTCCTGCAACATCTACTTTCTCATCTAAATTCTAGGTCAAGATAGAATTGTTAAAGATTTTAACATTGAATGAGAAGGAATGAAAGATGAAGTTGCTGCACATTTTTGAGGGCACTATACACTTACAGTGTACATTTCTCTTAAGTTTTTCTAAAAGGAATAAATTATAGTAAAATTGACAAATGCAATTTTTCAGTTAAATTTCAAATCCATCATTTTTTTCAAAATAAAAAAATCACATCCTTAAGTTTGAAAAGCAAGCATGTTGCAACTCAAATTTTGACTGGGCAAAATATGAAACTACTTATGAACACTATCATAAAATTGCTTTTTCAAAAGCAATACAGCAAAGACAAAGTTTATAAATATTTAACCTTGGCCATGTAAAAAAAAATTAATAGAGAAAACTCAGTTAGATAGAGGGATCAGAAGTAGGAGCTCCTATGCCCTGCATTGCTAGCAGAGCCCAATCAGAAAAAGAAAGACTCCTCTTTTTTCCAGGCAAGGACTCACTCAATAAAAAGATGTGGACTTTTTATTTACTACAGCTCTTCCAACTTCCTTTTCCTCTCCTCCCCTTGTGTGGGGACTTGCACAAGGCTTACCAGTATGCAGATACTGAATTGCAATTTTCTGCTAATGTTGAATACTCTCATTTTTGCTGGAAAAATGTCTGGCAGTCTATTTGTTTTAGGTCAACATTTTGGTAGCTCAGACAGGAGCCAGAGAAGATGCCCAATGGCTCTGGGCTGGTGAGTAAACAGGTGTGGTACTCACACCTGAGCCCATTGTTACTCACTGCTTTTCTTGCCAGTTCTGAAGTTTAAAGGAATCTTTCTCCTGGATCTGAGTTCACATCCTCACTGCATTTTAAGCTTCCCAGATTTTATTCAGAACCTATATTAGATATTTGTCTTTTAGTATGCAAGAACTTTTTTGGCACTATGGTCTGATTTTGAGATCACACTGTTTCAACCAAAGCTGGCTGAGAAGTCTTTGATCCACCCCTTCAAGAACAGGGGCTCCTTCACTGAAACTGTGCTCATTTAACCATTGACCCATTTCTTTGGAATAGAGCCTATTTTCTGAAAACTAGCTAGAAAATCCTTTGGCTTGGTTCCTAAAGGACCAAGCTGTTTTCTTAGAATTGCCTGGTATTAGCTAGCACACTGTTTGGGAATTGAGTCATTTGAGGTGTGAATTGTTTAAAAATTCTTCTTTCATCATAGAGAAAAATCCAAGAGTGAAATCTCAGTTATCTAAATATTCTGAGAGCATTTCTCTGTCTTCTCCCAACACATACATACTAGGATTCCGGTTAATTTTAAGTTTAAAAACTGAGGTTCTTCCTTATGTGTTTTTCTAACTAAATGAACTGATCAAAGGCAATTAAGAATATCAGTGGCCATTACTGGGAAACTTTTGAAATCCTCAGACTTAATTTTCTTAAAATCAAATTGGACGATAACAGCTCAAACATTTCCAGAACTGAGTGGAATGCTTATTTTGATTGACACTTTGAGGCTTCCCAATGTTATCAGGAGTCTAAGATTGCTTCTTTGCAAAATAGTATTTTAAGGTGAATTCCGGGATTGAATGATTAAATAAAGATAAACTGATTCCTGAAGCCTCGGGCCCTTCCTTGGCTTCTTCACTTCAGGCTCTGTTTCCAGCGCCATTTTGTCTCTCCCTCAGTTCTTCGCGGCCAGACTCTGCCTCTGGCACCTTTCCCCTCTTTTCCTCTTACACCACCTACTTCTACTTTATAACCTCGGTTCCCTCAATTCTTTCACTGATCTTCTCCCGTTTTCAGAAATTCTCCTTGTTTTCCTTTTCTCCAAACTTATCAGAACCTAGTCCTTTAAAATTAAGACTTCCCAGTATCCGGAGGCTAAACTCTTAATTTCCTATATTCCTTAAAGCTGAACTCGCTGCCATATTCAAAGATTTTCCCAAATTAATCAAAGATCCTAATAGATTTGCTGAGGAATTTAATATAGTCATCCAAATGTATCAACCTGGTTTCTTTGACTCACATCAGCCAGTTCTTATACTTGTTGGTGAAGGCTAGACCCAACGTTGGATGAAAACCACTGACTGGGAAAATTCTGGGAGGTCTCTAGAACCACAACCTGGAGATCAGCCTGAAAATTGAGCATACGATCAGACTTGAGAAATTGCTGGGTGATTTTTCAAGCAATTCCTCGGGATTCTCCAAAGGCTGCTAATTGGACAAAATGCAGTTGTGTAGACAAAAATCTGATGAATCTTTCCACAACTCTTGTAATTGACTTCAAATTATTTCTAAAGAAAATTCTGATCTTCCTTTAGATGTTGATTTCTACTAGGATAGGTTTTAACTCTCTATTTTTAAATGGGTTGAACTTAGATCTTTCCTTTCTAGTAAAAAGGATTTGGATGAAATGGGAAATTACGTCTGTTCCAGTTTTAGTTAATCTGGCAAATCACATGTCTCCTATTCTAGTTGAGTCACCCAGACGGATGATCACCAGAATTCTTAATTCAACTCTAGCAACTAAATGACAGCAAAACCCTCCTAATTTCTGCTGATATTTCAAAAAAGAGATGGGACATTGGAAGAGATTGCTACAAATTTAAGTGCTTCAAGCACCTAATGAAGTGTGAAATAAAATTCATATTTTATAGTAAGACAAGAAAAATTTAAATATAAGAATTCTTCTCTGACCACTGACTTCCTCTCTAGCCCCATTGGGCATTGTATATTTGCATTATGCATTGACCAACTCCTCCTGTCGATATGAATACTGGCTCAATCCTAAAGATCAATATACTCCTAGCATTAGCACGACAGCTCCTTAAAAGATAACATTCCTTCTTGATCTTGGCCCACTATGATGGTGCTTAGGTCTAGATAATGTGAAATGTCAATGATATGTCATTTGATGCCCACTATGATGGTGCTTAGGTCTAGATAATGTGAAATGTCAATGATCCGTCATTTGATGCCCACTATGATGGTGCTTAGGTCTAGATAATGTGAAATGTCAATGATACGTCATTTGATGTACAGCTTTGTTTCAAAAAACTTAACATAAACTGTGTCTTGACTTCTGACAGGTGGAACAGTTTTCAGAGCTTTCTGAGATGTTCTTCCTGGATTATAATACTCAGATTTGGCTCAAATATAATTTTCTAATTCTATCTCAGACTGACTAATTTCTCATCAGCACAGGCTTTCCAACATCCTCCCAGTTCTCAGTGAGGGAGCTCTGAAGGACTACAGGGGATCTTCCCAATTTTTCCTCTAAGCCTGGAGGAACATTTCTCCAGATTGGGGATGCATTTCTCCCAGTACTAGTTGGCACTAAAGTGATACTCTTGGTACTTAATTCCATGACTATAAAATAGCACCCACTTTGAAGTAATCAGACAGTTCAACCTTGAAGTAATCAGACAGTTCAAATAGTGAGGCTCTCTAATGAATCTTAAAGAGATTCCTATCTTTGAACTCATTCCCTTTTATTTAGGTCCTTTGAGAGGTGCACATACTTTTTTCCATAGTTCCTCTATCCCATCCATTTACTTGGCCTAGACATCTTAGAGAAATATCATGCTGCATATATAGTTTTCCTTCAAAATAAAGAGATATTTATATAATTTGACACTAGTCATCAAAGTTACCAACTAGGAAAATTAAATGAACCCTTTGACTGATGTCTGATGGTACTAGAGCTGACTCTGAAAACACAGATCCTTTGTCCCTATTGAATCAGCTACCATCCTCCTTATGGGAAAAATCTATAGCTAATATTGGCAAAATTCACAGTGAACTTTCTGTCGAGATTCAAATAAATCTTTTAAAGCATCTCCATAGAATTAATCAATATCGGATAAGTAACAAAGCCCTTCAATGCATAAGGCTCATAGACTACAAGTCTCAAGGCCTTATTATCTCTTGTATTGATACCAGCTTTTGTAACACTCCTGTCAACCAAGGAGACAACCTAAGGGCCTGGGTGGAGGTTTGTTCAGAGTCTCTGAGCAATAAACAACCTTACTATTCCTCACACCCTACATTCTTAGCCCTCTTATGTTTCTAACATCCATTCCTGCTGGAAGTAAATTCTTTACTGTAATTGATTTATGCACTACAGTCTTTAGTATTCCAATTGATGGAGCTAGCCAGTACCTTTTTGCCTTCACTTGGGAAGAAAAACAATTCACCTGGACAGTAATGCCTCAGAGTTTACTGAGAGTCCTTGTTATTTCTCACAAATCCTGAAGGCTGATCTGGGTGATATAAATTTCACCCAGCAATACATCCACACTCCTACCTTATGGCAATATGTGGATGATTTGCTTCTTTGCTTTCCTTCTCAAGCATCCTCACAGAAAATCAGCATCCATTTCCTAATACTTTTAGCTTTAAAGGGGCATAAAATGGCCAAAGAAAAATTGCAGTTTGCCCAAACCTAGGTTTGATGTTTAGAGTGTCTAATATCAGAACAAGGTCTACATCTTAATCCATCTGGGCTTCAAGGTGTTCTGTTTCCTCCAAGCCAAAACTAAGTATCAAATGTGAGGTTTTCTTCAGCTAGTTGCCAAAATTGGATTCTAAATTTCTCTCTTACAGCCAAATCTCTGTGTGTTTTGCTAAACAGTGACAATAATTTTGGCTGATAACAGCCAAATTTATCAGAAAAGCCAGACAACATAGCTTTTAAGGTCTTAGAGTTTGATAACTCACCTGCTTTGGGGTATCCTGAATATCAGCTTACCTTTTTCCATTTTGTACAAGAATCATTTGGAGAAGTATCAGGCTCAGGATCAGGCCACTGCAATAAAGTGAATATCACAATAAAGTAAGTCACACAAATGTTTTGGCTTCCCAGTACATATAAAAATTATGTACACATATACTACAGTCTATCAAGTGTGAGACAGCATTAGGTCTAAAATAAGACAACATATATACCTGAATATATTGCTAAATAATGTTATTTATACCTGAATGTTATTGCTAAAACTACTCAATTACAATAGTAACATGAAAGATCACTGATTATAGCTCACCATAACAAATTTAACAACAATAATAATAAATTCTAAAATATTGAGAGAATTACCAAAATGTTACACAGGGACAAATAGTGAGCAAATGCTATTGGAAAAATGTTACCAATAGATTTGCTTGAAACAAGGTTGCCACAGCCTTCAATTTGTAAAACAAAAACATAGTATCTGTGAAGTGTAATAGAGAGAAGTAGAATATAATGAGGTGTGCTTTTATATGAAAAGGGAGGGAATACCTTCAGCATTCTCACCCAAAACATGGGGACCACTATTGACCCATATAGTATTACAGCGAGGAACTGGACTCTATGATGTGTGTCTAACCCTCTGCCTTAGAGACATCACGGTTACTGCCCTTTGGTTGAGACCACTGAGAAAATCATTGTGGGATCACTTTTAACCATTGTTGCACCTTGTACAGTAGGAGCCCTCCCAAATTCTTATCCCATGCAATGTTTCTTGGTCATTACCTCACCTCCTGGGAAGTCCTTTTGTAAACTACTTATCACACAACTGTTTTATTTTGTAATAACACTTAACACTGCTACTTTTTCCCCCTCTATCACTGATAAAGTTCCTCATGACTGCTTAATACTGATGAATCACCTCCTGACTCCTCATGATGATCTGCAGATTATTTGAGTGATGTTGACTTCTCCTGGTTCACGGACAATTCTTATTTAAAAGTTGGTATTACAAATATTTTATTGAATATGCTACTGCAACTCCTTCTGATGTTGTTTAGGAAGCATTTTAGCTGAGGCTACTTCAGCCCAATAGGCTGAATTTTATACTCTTCCACAAGCTTGTACTTTACCAAAGATAAAACTGCCAATATGTACACTGACAATAGACATGCTTTTGGAGTAGCTCACAATTTTGGAATATCATAGACTCAAATGGCTTCCTTGTTGCCAGGGGAATTAAAATTTAAAATGGTCCCTGTGATCAGAAATTTTCACATACAATAGTTTCACTTGCTACTTCATCTATCCTTAAAATTCTGGGGCACTAAAATTTGATCCTCTGGAAGCTAAGGGAAATGACTTTGCCCATATCTCCACAAGAAGTGAGGTTGCTAAAGAGACCAATAGTCGCTAAACCTCTGCCAATGGTCTAAAGTGATGTTTCCCAAAATGACAATTTAAAAAAACTGACTAGAGAAACCAAACAATTGGCCTCAAAACAGGAAAAACATGATTGGAAATTCAGCAATTCTTGGTTTGATAAAAAGATAAAGGTATGGTTTGCAACAAATAGCAACCCAGTCCTACCAGAGACTCTAAAATTCCTTCTTCTCACTACTGGACATGTATTAGGACTTTGGTCAACTGACAAAATGATAGCCTTCATGAATCAATATTGGTGGAGAACCATTAACAAGGCCACAGAAATTGCCTACCTACTCACCCCTCTTATTTGAAATACAGCCCAGAAAAACTTGTTTGTACTGCTCCCAGGCATTTTTAACTGCCTAATGAACAATTCAAGGTCTGTCAAATGGATTTTCTACAACTTCCTATGTGTCACGGATATAAATATATTTAATCATGGTCTGTGTGTTTTCATACTGGTCTGAAACCTACCCTCGCAGACAGGTTACTGTTTTCTGCTTCTTCTGTGGCTCAAGTTTTTTTTTTTTTTTGGAAAATAATATTTCTACATGGGAAACTCCTCTCAACTTTCATGGTGATTGAGGAAGTCATTTTACTGGCCTATTTAGACAAGTCTGTGTTGTTTTTCTGGTTTTACAACATTTTCACTGCACTAACAACCCTCAATCCTCTGGTTTAGCTGAATGCACGAATGGCATTAAGACACTAATGGAAACATTTATAGAGGTACTCCAAATACCTTGGTCAGAAGCATTGCCATTTTCCCTTCTAAATCTCAGATCCACCATTTTTTGGGAACTTATAAAATCTCACCCTTTGAGGTAGTCACAGGATATCCAAAGGACTTGAATCCTACTTTATTTATTTATTTATTTATTTATTTGACCTATGACTCTTAGATATTTCCATTTCAATACAGCAAAGGTCTAACTTCTTCTATGAAAGACAATTATGTTTTGGTAGAGCAATCTTCTCACAGTGCACTCTTGGGAGACAAAGACCTTATGCATCAGACCTTTCTGGAGATTTTGTCTATTGGAGCGGACACTTCCAGGAGAACTCTCTTCAATGTCACTGGTGAATCCCCTATCAAATAATGCTAACAAATCACTGCTAAACTTCAAGCAATAAACACTTGGATTCAAATGACGCATCTAAAGAAAGTGCCAGACCCTGACTGAACATAAATATCATCAGGTGACCTAAAAGGGAAAAAAAAAAGAAAAAGAAAAAGAAAAACAAAAAACCTCCCAGAATTGAAGCAGGTGACATTAGATGGGACAACTTTCCCAAGGTTTCCGAACCAGGTCTATTGGAAATTTGTCATCAAAACTTTGAGGATGACATAACATTTAAAATGATAGCCAATATCTCTGATCTTGGAAACACAAGAACTTTATCTCCTGAGAGTTCAGCCTTGTATCCTTCCATGTTACTTGAATGTGACCTACACAGGTTTTCAGTCTGGATACTTCCCCTTTAATATGAGACACTACACCCAAAAAATGTTCTTCCTGGCTTTGAGGGGCAAAAATCCACTAACACTAGAAAAACATGACTTGATTACTGATCCTTTCAGAGAAAGTGCTTTATCATAAGGGGCAAATATAAAAAACAGTTAATAAAGAGAAATTTCAATTAAATAGAGTTAGGTGACCAGAAGGGGACTTTCACACCCTGGTATATTAGCAGAGCCCAAAAGGAAAAAGAGAGACAGTAAGTCCCCTACATATGAACCTTCAGGTTGGGAATTTTTAAAGATGTAAACATGCATTCCGTGAACATCAGGAATGCGTGAAACTGTAACTTGCCCTCCATCTCCTATTTCCGATGATCCTTCAGCTCAATCATCTCCCACCTCCTTTCCCTCCTCCAGTCAGTAACTCTTGCCTGTTCACCAGATCCCAGCCCCTGCAGGCCAGCCATTGTACTGTACTATTGTACTTTTCAAGGTATTGTACTGTAAGATTAAAAATATTTTATTTTTTGTGTCAGTTTGATTTTTATGTATTATTTGAAAAGTATTATCAACCTATTACAGTACAGTACTATATAACCGATTGTGTCAGTTTGGTACCTAGGCTGACTTTGTTAGACTTATGAACAAACTGATATACAAATATGCTCTCAAAATGGAACTTGTTCATGTGGAGGGGACTTACTGAACTTCTTTCCTCCAAGCAGTCAGTCAATGAAAAACCATGGACTTTTGGTTGCCCAACTTCCTTTGCCACTCTTTAAAGCATCCTTCTTCCCTTGTCACATGGGGACTTGCACACTGCTCACCATAATTGCAAACCTTAAATTTCAATTCTCTGCTGATCCTACATAAACCCGTCTTCACTGGAGAAATATCTGGCAGTCTAATTTTTTTAGATAAAGAACCACCTGGTAGGAAAACATTTTATTGAAAGCATTCTATCCTTATGAATTTCCTGATTATTAATCAGATGCATTTGAGTAAAATCATTTTCTTATGCTTTCCTTAAAATTTTATCAAAGTTGGACAATAAATTTAGTAACAAATAACATAACTAACAACAGGAAAGTGCTTCAAAAGTAAAACCAGCTCCTGGAAAAGCACTACTTTTCGGACAGCATAAAGATTCTTTCTCTGACTTGTGTTTCTGGCTTTTGCTTTGAAATGACTTGATACTGTGTGCTTAATTCCTCTAGCCATCTGTTTTCCCACTACTGATTCTGACGTGTCTCTATATCAGAAATAAAGGACTGGTTAAAAATCTTCCCTCCAATGAACCAAATGAGAAATGAATATTTTGAGGAACTGTTTCACATAGGATATGTTTTTGCATGAAGAAAACACCATCTAGAATTGAATGTAAGACATGTTGTGGGATTGAGAGAAAGTGCCAGACTCCATTTTCCAAGGTAACCATTCTTCAAAAGAATGCTAATGGAAATGATAAAATGAAAGGCTAAACAAAATTATGTTTACTGTTGTAACCAGCTACTAGTAAATAGCTGAATTATAGCATGTGTGAAGATGCTTTTAAAGCAGATTTTCTATTTGGTTATGGAAAGTTGGTCATGTGGATAAGCTTTGAAATCTGACTGATTAAAATTCGTGTTCTGACTCAACCACCTACTTACTTGCTTTATGGCTTGAACAAATGAATAACATTTTACTGAAGCTACTTTGAGATTTTTCATATAAAAAATTGGGGGAGGGAGCTACTAACATTAAAATTTTGTTCAAAAAACTTTGTATCTTAGCTCTGTCTTGCTTTATTTTTAGATATTCCTGCAAGAACATGATGTAAGAGGTGAGGAAGACATAAAGAGGAATTGTTCTTCCTGAAATGGGATGTAAGAAATTAATAGCAGGTGCCCTGGCATATGAACAAATGGACCCTGGAGGCCCAGTATGAAGCAGCCTTTTTACAAAAAGGCTAACTTGCCCATTATTGATTTCCTCCAAGGGAGTTAACATATTTTCACTCCACAGGTATTCCCTTGTTCGTGTTGCTGTTATTTTCTTATCTATTTTTAATTTATTTTCCTATGATAAAATTTAGAGGTTCAAGCATCCCTTTGCTCAGTAGAAACTCTCATAGTGAAGTGAAAAGCTTTCTGCAGCTCTAAATATCACATGCTCTCGCACCATGATGTTGTTTATTACTAGATAAAATTTTGTACATTATCGTCCTAGCACAATGCAAAGGACCACTATTTATCTTTATCCCATCCCATTTAGGCTTCCCTGGTGACTCAGATAGTAAAGAGTCTGCCTTCAACTCGAGATACAGGCTTGACCCCTGGGTTGGGAAGATCCCCTGGAAGAGAAAATGGCAACCCACTCCAGTATTTTTGCCTGGAGAATTCCATGAATAGAAGAGCCTGGTGGGCTACAGTCCATGGGGTTGCAAAGAGTCAGACATGACTAAATGACTTACATGCTTTACATCTCATTTTTATTCTATGACAGTACAAAGTGTATCCTTTTAAACAGAAATATTGAAGAATATATTAACATCTGCCAGGTTTTTTGCAAGTAGTCAGCTTCATAACTCTATTTGTATCTTAAAAGCATGTTTACCAGATGTTATTTATAAACATGGCCATCATTAAACTTCATGAGAAATGATTCCGTAGGATAAATAACATGTTGAAATACATTATTACCATTCCTGTGGAAGGCTTGGGGTCCATCTGAGGTTTCTCAATGGAGAAATTTAGTTATATTTCCTCCAATGCTTTAACTGCTGCTGCTAGTGTTGTTGCCAGCATCCTGGAGGAGAAATAAATATAGCATTTCAATTATCATTAATGTTTTAATATTGGTAAAGGTCATGATGCATTTTTACATGCTATTAATTGAAATGTTGCTAATGTCTTGGCTTAGGGATTCTCTCTAGAGATAAATAGGAGCAAAATATAATTCAACAGTTTTTATAATTTAACATTTTACTGGAAACACAACTGCCAATCCCAATAGATGCAATATTAGAATTCTGACAAGAGCTCATATCTTATTAATCTTGTTTGTCTAATCAGTCCAAATAGTTATCCAATTCTTTGCTTTTAGGAAAGAAGGTGCTTTCATAAACTTTTTTTAAAAAGGGTTTAGTTTATTGATTTTATTTCATTGATTAGAACTTTTTATTTTATTAATAGCCACTTCTTCCCTGGTGACTTAGAGGGTAAAGCGTCTGCCTGCAATGAGGGAGACCTGGGTTCGATCCCTGGGTCGGGAAGATCCCCTGGAAAAGGAAATGGCAACCCACTTCAGTATTCTTGCCTGGAGAATCCCATGAACGAAGGAGCCTGGTAGGCTACAGTCCACGGGGTCACAAAGAGTCAGACACGACTGAGCAACCTCATTTTCAGTTTTTCCTCATTTTCAGTACTGACTCAATATGAAAATAATATATGAGTGTAACATTTCCAAGAATTAAAGACAATGAAACTGAGGCAACTCACTCAGGTATTCTTGCCTGGAAAATTCCGTGGACAGCGAGTCCCCATGGGACAGCTAGTCGCACGGGCTGAGGCAACACAGCGCGCACGCATGCTCAGTCGCTCAGTCGCGCCGGACTCTGCTGCGTCATGAACTCCAGGCCGCCAGGCTCCTCTGTCCACGGACTCCTCAGTCAGGAATACTGGAGCGGGCTGCCATGCCCTCCTCTGAGGGATCTTCCTGACCCACGGGTGGAGCCCACATCTCTTATATCTCCGGCACTGCAGGTGGATTTATCTCTGAGCCACCCGGGAAGCCGGAGAGACAGTATACGTGCACGCAAACTGAGGTATTGTTTTTAACACATTATTTTGATAAACGTGACAGTAACTCATAAAGTGACTCATTCTGAATTATATGTCCACATGACAGTAGAGACTTCAGAATGGAGAGTGAATGGGAGAGAATTCATAATGTTGTCACTGTCTTTAGATGGCTAGTTTTATAATTCACCTCCATGTTTGATATTTTTACCTGTATTTTAAAATATGTTAAATATGATTCTGTTATTCTATGAAAAGGTGTTTTGAGAGTAATTCTTTCCTGTGAACTTTCTTCTAGTCTATAGCAATATTAATACAAAAATTGAAATTAAATATGTGATGTTATTATAGAAATTAAAAGACCCTGATGCTGGAAAAGATCGAAGGCTATGGAAGAAGGGGATGGCAGAGGATGGGATGGTAGATAGCATCATCTACTCAATAGACATGAATTTGGGCAAACACCGGGAGATAGTGTTGACAGGAAAGCCTGGCATGCTGCAGTGCACAGGGTCACAAAGAGTTGGACATGACTTAATGATTGAACAACAGTAACACAGAAATTTCACAGAATAATTTTTGTACATTGACTGTAAAATTATGGACTTGTATTTTTACCCTTTTTATTATCATTTCTCTTGAGATTAATTTTGTTGTATTTTACAAAGATATTGTTCCATGATAGATTAATGATGATGGAAATAAACTTGGTCTTTTACCACCAATGGTTGAAGAAATACTGTCTAGAAGATACTTGAAATGTGAACCAATATAGACTTAATTTCAATTTTCTTCTATCTGCTGGAAAAATATCTCAATATGCCAATTTCTTCAGAAGGGTAACAGTCACATCTTCTCTGCCTTAGAGCAGATTATAACCAAAAGGAGATCAAGAAGCCTAGGGATTTCAGCAAGTCCCTGGGTCACCCTCAGGCAGCAATGCAAAGTGAATTTCCTTAATGGTGATACTTGCTTAAAGAGGTCCCTGCCCAGACTGTCAAGTTTATGTTCAAAGTAAAATGCAGAAATGACACATGGAGTGTCAATCCAAGGCAGTTGTAGAACAAAGACAGACCTCTTGAATTTAAGGCTTTCCTCATTTTTGTTTTCTTGGGTGCTGATGCTAATACAATATCCCTTGTATTTCTCTGGACTTTCTTTAGTACACAAACATTCATTCAGTTAACTGACCTGGCAAAAAAATAAGGCAAGTACTCTACCAGTTGGCTTTGGTGGAGCAGTCATTCTACCATTTACTGAAGAAAACTTGAAGGAGTCAAATATGACTCAGAATTCCAGGTTTGGGACTGAGTTACCCTAGCTGCCTTAAACTGCAAAATATTATTGGTCAGCAGATAAATAAAGGAATGCCAGGAATAAGGTGACGGGTATGTGAGAGACTGTATCTGGAAAACACAATAAAATTATTAAATATCTTCTTATTTAGTTTCAGTCTCATTTCCCCTTCAATCTATTTACCAAAACAATACTGCTAGAGTTTCACTTCTAAGATTTCACTTCTAAGAATCTAATCTACTCACAAGATTCCTTTAAGGACTATACCTTTTCAAATTAAGCTTAAGTCTTTGATATGAGATATAAGTCCCTTAACCTGGGTTCCTGCCAATCTCCCCCACCATCTCCTTCACTCCCCTCCACACAACCTGCCATGGCCTCTCCTTCCCCTTCTCACTATATACACATCTTTGCTTTGAACTTGATTAACTACTTGCACCTCCAGAATAATCCATGCCTTCTTATCAACTAGGTTTTAGTACCTTACCAATTCTTATTTTTCGCTCATGTGTGTGTCTCTTGTGGGTAGGCATGTCCTACTTCATATCCTCTGTATTCAATGATGTAGGCTTGAGAAATTACTTTTTTTCTAGCATATTTTGAGTCCCACAACAAGCAGGAAAAGACAAGGTGGAATTACACGGTGATGTATAAAACTTTGCCTGTCATTCTTATCCATATTTTATTGCAAAATTTAGCCACACAGTCAAGGCTATTGGGTTAAGAAGGGCTCTCAAGAAAGGGCCAGTACAGGAGGCAACAGCTATTTGTAAACAATACTGCCATCTGTCATATCATCCTTCAAGATTTAATGTTCTGCTTTAACACTTTCTGATTGCCTCTGTCATACCCTCTGAGTCTGTAATGGACATATCAGTGTCTGTTTCTTTCCTATTAGCTTGGGGATGATTACAAATCTGACTGTGTATTTTGATAATTGGTATAACATTCAACATTCAAAATATCTCTTAAGTGAAAAGAGAGAAGTAAAGAAGGAAGGGAGGAGGAAAGATAGAAATAGAAATACCTGTAATATATTTGTAGCATGTAACCCATTTAAGGGAAAAGTCAAGCTTCTACAAATCAACAGCTTATTTATTGATTATTTGGGAAACAAGAACATATAAATATCTGAAAATATATGTTGACTTTAAATATTAGACTTAGGATGTTTCTATCATGTAAGTTTTAAAAGACTCAATTTCCTTTGAGGACCAGTGGAGCCTTTCTTTTCTCTCTCAACCTCTCCCTCTCTCTCTCCAGCTCTCCCTCCATGAGTAATATAATGTATTTAAAAGTATTGCTTTTGGAGGAATTGGCCCTGATATATATATACACTTATCCACTATATTCCCCTGCTATTCTCTTTAATATTAAGGCGATTAGCAAATAATTCTTTATCCTGCTTTCTGAAATTCTGTGGCTATTGGACTAAATTTCCTCTTTTTTTTTCTCTCTGCACCAGAAATTACTTATATGTCCAAGCTTCCTCTTTCATCCCCTCTATTTCAAAAACACATCTCTGCTTCAGACAGGTAACTCCTCTATCAGGTCAACTGAAAAAAAAATTCCTCTACAACTTCCCACCATCAATTATTGTCTCTATTTTCTGTCTTTAATTTTATGCTTTCTGCTCAGTCATCTATGAACACACATACACACTTTTCCATTTGAGTAACAAACAAATAGATCAAGCTCTCTCAGATTTTGCATCCAACAAAACTGAAGTTTATCTCACATATTATGAAAGCAAAATGTATGTGAATCTCCTCCATAGTCAAAATATCCACTATTTATGTGCTGCTTCTCTCACTATTTTTTCTACTTCTCTAAGATACTAACAAAATTAGCAAACTTAATAGCAATTAAATTTTTATACTTCCATTTTTAACCTCCTTAAATTCTAGATATAAGGCTAATTTCTTCTGCCCCCTCCATGAAAAACTTCTTATGATGGAAAAAATTAACAGAATGTTTATTTTTGTTTAATTTTGGAGAATCTTTAAAAAATATAGAAACTGGAAAACGGACTTGGTATCTCATTTATGTTCCAATAGTGACCCTCTGTTGATCATCTTTATTCTCTGATAAGAACAGGTAATAGTAATACTCTTACCTCAATATTTGCTCAAATTGTATTCCTGTACTTCTATGGTACTTTATATAATGATAAAATTTAATAGTACGTGCTAAGTCGCTTCAGTTGTGTCTGACTCTTTGTGACCGTATACCGTAACCTGCCAGACTTCTCTGTCCATGGGCTTCTCCAGGCAAGAATGGGTTGCCATTTCCTTCTCCAGGGAAACTTCCCACCCAAGGACTGAACCCAGGTCTCTTATGTCTCCTGCATTGGCAGTTGTGTTCCTTACCTCTAGTGCCCCCTGGGAAGCCCCAAATTTAATAGAGTTTATAATTTAAATAATGTCTTTCATTCTGGTACTATGAGAAGAACTTGTAATGGGATGGTCCTATTTTTATTTCTCATATATTAAGGAAAACTGTAGTAAATATGAATAAATAAACTCTTAAGTATATTTAAGTAATGCTTATTTCAAATTTCATTCTTTTTCATTAGAATTAGGATCTAATATTAATATACTCAATAAGTTGCATAATGTTGAGCCTTTAGTTTTATTTGGCATCTTCTAAACTCTTTTTATTTTCTATGTATATACCACTTACACACAAAGTATGCTGCATACGTAGAAAGGTGGAGGAAGAGATAAATTGGTAGAGATTAATGATGCTGCTGCTGTTGCTAAGTCGCTTCAGTTGTATCCAACTCTGTGCGACCCTATAGACGGCAGCCCACCAGGCTCCCCCGTCCCTGGGATTCTCCAGGCAAGAACACTGGAGTGGGTTGCCATTTCCTTCAATGCATGAAAGTGAAAAGTGAAAGTGAAGTCGCTCAGTCATGTCCGACCCTTAGCGACCCCATGGACTGCAGCCCACCAGGCTCCTCCGTCCATGGGATTTTCCAGACAAAAGTACTGGAGTGGGTTGGTTGCCATTGCCTTGTCTGAGAGATTAATGATAGATGCATACAATTGGAAGGAATAATGAGTGAATAAATGGATAGATTTACAATAATACAATGGCATTTATTGATGCATCCACATATCCCATTTCTTTTCTACACAGAACTAGTTAGATTTTCCTTTGGAGAGACAAGTCACACTCTCTGCTTTAGCTATTGAGTTTTGATTCTATTTCAAGCTCCAAGGGAAGGCCATCATTGGCTTAAACTAATTAAAGTAATCCTATTGTTGCTGTTGTTCTTAATGTTTGTCACTGTGAATATTCCAGGGTTGGCAATGATTTAAAACTAAGACAAGCTAACAGATGGCATTCCATCAGCCCTAGTGTTTGGTTCAGGGGACCTAAGTTAGTCCAACTGGAAGGAAGCCAAAATTTCTCTTAAATAATTGCAAACTTGATACAATGCCCTTCTCTTATGTATATGTGTGTGTGTGTGTGTGT